CCCCTTAAAATTCCGGATTGGGCAATTCCTTAATCCAACAGCCCAACTTCCAAAGGGCATAACTCCCTCATACGAACTTGGAATCGAGCAAACTTGGCGGCGTTGGAAAGATAATTCCAAGATCTTTTCAAGAATATCTGGAACTACCCCTAACTCATCCTGATCTAGGAGTTATGACCGATTGAAGTTGACCAAAAACTCAATTTTAACTTGCTTGAAATTTTCCAGATTTCCTTATACTTTCCAAAAATAACTATTTCCAGCTTTTAAACTTCCTTTTAGTTCTTTCTCGTTGCGAGATGTTACAAGAACTGAAATTGGGCTTAGAGTAGGTTAAATCGTATAAGGGTCAAAATTGGGTTTATGGAAAATTTAGAATTAAATGTATAAATAAATATAAAGTGTTACCCGTAGTAACGTTTTCCTACTTAACGTCGTCCCTCATTAACTTTTGTCCGTTTATTCTTTTGAAATAAAATATGGGCTAATACGTTACTGCCAACAACGTTTATACTAGTTTTGTAAAGTTACAAAAAATGTATTATTACTGTAAATTGATTTAAATAGTAGCTTGTTTTGGTCAAAATTTCTATATTTAGACAATATAGTAATTCTAGCAAAAAATATTTTTCGGAATTAAGACAATTATAATTATTGTTGTAATGGCGTCGTGTTTTATGTGAAAATAAAACTAAAATTTATCCATTATGATGAAAATAAACTAATCCTACTGGTACTCAAATATATATATAAAAAATTGATATTGAACTCAAATATGTAATTAAAGAACGACAACATTAAAAAGAATATGCAAAGCAAAGGCAAGAATATTCAAATAAAAACTTTAAAATTCAAATCCATATTAAAAAAAGTTATACTATTCAATATTCAAACTTCCATTCAAGGATACTATATTCAGTTTAAAAATACTTTAGTTCAAACAAAAAGCTACAGAATATAAATAAAAACTTTAATATTCAAATCAAAACCACAATATTCAAATTAAAGCTACATTATTCAAATAAAAAATTACAATATTACGATCAAAATTATAGTATTCAAAATAAAATCAGGATCTCCTTGAATACTAAAACTCCGAGAAAGCTCAAGTAAGAAATAAATCATTTATAGCAGGAAATGCCCAGAACTAATACAGAGAGAGAGGCGTGATTGAGGACCCTTCTTGACCTTCCAAAAGTGAACAAGAAAGTGATCAAAATAGGTATTCCTGAACAAGTCAAGAAAGTGATCAAAATAGGTATTCCTTAACAAGTCAAGTTGTTTTTCAGATAAAGAAATTTTGATTTGGTCGATGACAGTATGATTAGTGTAAGATGACCACCTACTCGCAATATACACAACATCCAAATGTTTCCAGAATTTACGATCCTACATATGTATTAAACTTGAATTAAAAATGTATTACTACATACTAAAGTTGAAATAAAGAAAAATTACACATACTACGTATCAAAGCAAGGCAGTAATCAGTATACAATCATTCCTAAACAACAACGAACTAAGAAAAACACATAAAATAGATTCAAAATACTATCACATACCGGATCTCTACTCTCCGGTAGAATGACATTTTTGGGCAATCGATTTTGTGTTTTTGCATCCTTCATTGGCTTCTTCTTCTTCGGCACAACTTTATTTTTCAATTTTTTTGACTAAAATTGAGGAGGTAAATCCTCAAAATCGTCATTGCTATCCACGATTTTCTGCGACGTACATGCAAAATCAACACATCTTTTTTTTTATCTTTTCACATTGTTCACCTCTTTAACTCGTTTTTTACCTTTACAATGAACATGCATTCTCTCCTCCTTGTTCTGCTCACCCGATACTTGTGAAATTCCCAAATTAAAATTGGGACAATCATTAACTTCGTCGGTAGTAGCAGAAGCTGAAATTTAACCCCATCATCCGACTCCTTCTATAAGCTTTTTTATTCGAAGTATCAACATCACTAAGTATCCGCGGACTTCTTCTAGGCGATTTTCGTTTACCTTCTTCCATTAGAATTCTATGCTGAAAATTGAAGAAGAAAGAACGGCAAAACCCTAAAATAAAACAGAGAGAAGAGCAGAAAGAAAAGCGAAAGAGGGAACGAGCGATGTTTTCAATTAGTTCCTGATTAGATACAATACCTTTTGCTAAGTTGAAAATTCTTTAATTACATATAAAAGGAACAAAATTGTTTAAGAATTGTCCAAGTATTGCTAAAAGTTGACAAAAATGGTAATAAAATAAAAGTATATTTAAAAATGTTAATTATTAAATAAAAAAGATTCACTTATGTAATTTTTCCTAAAAGTAAGAACTTTATGCTGGGGACATTGGGCTTGACTTGATGCCAACCATTTTTTTTTAGGGAAAATTGTATATAATAGCAAACTATTAATTCAAATTAAATGCTATAAATATAGTTTGATTTAATTGTACCCCATAGCAAACTATTGCTATTTAACCTCTCTCCTGTCGAATCTCGCTCGCCACTCTCGTTCTCTCCCTCTCCTCTCTCGTTTTTTTATACAAACGCAAGTGTATAAAGTGCGTTTGTGTTTGTATAAAGCGAGAGAAAATTGTATATATACATATATTTTCCTTCCCCTCTCCCAGATCTCGCTCGCCACTCTCCCAGATCTCGCTCTCTCACTCGTCTCTCTCACTTTATACAAAAACCGCAAATTGTATAAAATGCGTTTGTGTTTGTATAAAGCGAGAGAAAATTGTATATATACATATATTTTTGTTCCTCTCTCTCCCCTCTCCTAGATCTCGCTCGCCACTCTCCCAGATCTCGCTCTCTCACTTCCCTCTCTCACTTTATACAAAAACGCAAATGTATAAAATGCGTGAAAATTGTATATATACATATATTTTCATTCTCCTCTCTCCCCTCTCCCAGATCTCACTCGCCACTCTCCCAGATCTCGGTCGCTCACTCGTCTCTCTCACTTTATACAATTGATCTTTTTGTATATGTATACCAAAGCAGATTATACAACTGCTTTCTTTTGTATATGTATAGCGAAATATACATATTTATGTTTGCTATGGAGCGCAATTTTGCAAAGTTTGCTATAGCATACAAATATGAATTTTGTGTTTGCTATATGTGAAAGTTGCTCTTTTTTTTATCTAATTTTAAGTTTAAGTTATCTGATTGATTTTTATATTTTTCTAATCGAACTTATAGTTTTAAACTTGTTAATCTAACAATATTCAAATTATTGAACTCTAGTAACAAAGAAGAAGTATTTCGAGTTACCTTAAACTATTTCTTGGTAATCCCCTTAATAGCCCAGCATAATTTAGTCTCTTTTTCAGCTTAGGTGTACTTGAAGCAATCTATCTGAGTCCCCACTGTCTGCGCTTCAAATATATTCATTCATCCTGATAGATCAAATGAACTCCCCACTGTCTCACAATGCATCCATGGATAGATGCCTCAAATAGGCTATACTGGTTAATGTCTCCAACCTGCAGTGAAGAATACAATGGTATGTAGGCGAAGCAAACACACCAGCCATATGTTCTAGATGTTGTGCCTACTTTACATTCTTTCTCTATCACTTTAAGGTCTTTCAAATGATCATTGCATATCAATTTGGCATTGATGAAAGCATAGTCATACTTCCCAGATAGCCTTGAATCAGGACTGCAGACACCTGCTCCCATGAGAGTCACACAGCATATAGCAAAGCCCTTGAACTTATCATTATACCAATTAATGGGCAGTTTGAACAAGATCTTTTCCTCAACACTCTGATGCATAAACCACGTGGGAATTGCACGTTCAGGAAAGACAATGGAACAGGTTACCCTATGATCAGAGTTAAGAGTGGGGAGAATCACATCATCCATATTGTTTGATAGAAACAAACTGAGAATCTCATCTGAAATTGAGCTACCATTGCTCTCCTCTGTATAAGATTGTTGATCAAAACTATAATTGGTGAATGATACCAAATTCAACCTTGGGTGCATCCGTAGCTTTGCAATACTTTCTTTTGCCAAAAAATCTTCTACATATAATTCCTCTATACTCTTAGGAAGTACGGGCAGTTTCTTAAGTTCCTGACAGTGTGTAATATTGAGATATCGAAGGTGAGAAAGTCGCCTGAAGACATCAGGGAAATAAATAGACTTATTTCTGCTCAGGTTCAGTTCCAATAGAGAGGTTAAGTTCATAAGAGCAGCAGCTTGGCTATCACATAAATTACATCCACTGAGATCTAAGCTTCTCAATTCCCTCAAAGCATGAAACACCCAGGGTAATATCAAACTGTGAGCAGATTGATGCTTTACCTTCCGCCCTTTTCTTAAGTTTCCAATAGAATCTGGCAGTTGCCAAATGGCAGTGTTGCCAGCATAGAGCTCCTCCAACTCATTTAGATCACCTAGATTTTCAGGAAAAAATGAAAGTCTTGAGCAGCCTTTCAGAATCAAAATTTTCAGTTTTCTCATCTCACAGACACTGGCTGGGAGTCTTACAAGGTATTCACATGATCGCAAATCAAGCAAGCTGATACCACTGAGCTGTCCTATTGATGAGGGCAATTCCCAAATTGCAGTACGTGCCAGAAGGAGCTCTGATAGCAATTTCATATTCCTCTGAATTTCTGGAAATTTTTCTAATTTCTGACAACCTGAGAGGTTGAAGCTTTCAAGAGATTCCATTTGAATACTACTTGGTAAAGACTTGAGACTTTTGCAGTTTTCCAGATTCAAGAAGATGAGCTTTTTGAGATTTCCAATGGATGGATGAATTTCAACCAAACTTACACAACTTTTCAGTATTATCTTCTGGAGGTTTGGAGTCTCACAAAAATTGGGTGTTCGGAATAAAATTCCTGAAAAACTTAAATTGAGGATTGTCAACTTGTCAAATGCCTGTTCATAAAAAGAGAACAAATAAAAACATCAGCTTTAACTGTCATTTCTTTCTTTAAATTAAATATGATTCTTTTTTGAAGGAGATGAACAATACCTTTGGTTCCTTGAAGATTTCAACAAAGAGAACTAGAAGTCATAATGAGCCCAACAAGGTTTCCTGGTTCATAATATGCTGGTAAAGATTCAAAACTGTAGTATGACCAATCAAGCCATTTCAAGTTACTGGGGAGGTACTCAATAGGGTCACAAATAGGGTCATGATGTCGGGCCTCCTCCCCTTTGACAATGAGTAACCTTAGACAAGGCATGTTTCTGAAAGCTTTGCTCCACTTGCATATATGACGGTCTGAGCCAATTGGTGCCATTATTCCTTTAATTGACTTTGTCATCTGGAAAAGAAATTAAAGTAACTTTGTTAAACAGAACATACTTCCAAGCATAGAACCTATTTTCCTAAATATACAAATCTTAATCTATATCATTTTTTGTTGGAATTAGTTACTGAGGTTAGGATAATACTGGTAGTATAAGATTTATATCTGTCTTTGCATTATAAGTTCAATCAAATTAATTGAAAACTTCAAATATTCTTATTTCCACTTATGACCCGATAAGAAATCCATTCTCCAATCAATATAAGCTTCGATTTGACATATGTTTACATTAGGAGGTGTTTCCCTATCAACCAAAAAAGCTAAAATTTGAACTTATCAAAGAATACCTGTAAGAGGGAGAAAACTTTGTGACAAACTATTTAACAAGACAAATATTACTATAAACTAGTACCAAATTGTCATCAATAAAAATACTTTCAGGGGGGAAAGAAGTAACAACAATAAAAACAAACACAACAAATTATTCTGAATGTAAATATATAATAAAATCACTACATGGGGACGAGGAGGAGAAAACGAAGATGGCATGTTCTACGCTAGTCCTCATGTGGGTACTTTGGAGTGAAAGGACCAGGAGAACTTTTGAAGAGAAAGAACATGAGTTTGTACGGTTTAGGTCTTGCCTTTATTTTTCCTTGATTTTAAGAGCACCCATAAAGTTCTTGTAGGAATAGATGATTGGGTGTCATTGGCAGAGAACCATTTTTTTGCAGCCCATTTTTATTTGATTGGTGATGGATGAATTGACGTGGTAAATCCAAGGTGAGGTTTCATGGTGTATGTTATTTAGAGATGACATACTTCTGATTGACGAGACTGGCGGTGAAGTTAACGCTAAGTTGGAGGTCTGGAGACAAACCTTGAAGTATAAAAGGGTTCAGGTTGATTAGGACCAACACAAAATACTTAAGTGCATGTTCAGTGACGTAACACACAATGCAAGCTTGATACCCAGGTCATCCAAAAGAAAGGAAGCTTCAATTATCTTGAATTTATTATCCAAAGTAAGGGGGAGATTGACGATGATCTCACACATCATATTGGTGCAGGGTGGATGACATGGAGGCTAGCTTCCGGAGTCTTAGATGATAAGAAAGTGCCACCAAAACTTAAAGGCAATTTCTAAAGAGCGGTGGTTAGACCAACTATGTTGTATGGAGCGGAATATTGATTTGGTCAATAACTCTCATATTCAGAAGATAAAAGTTGTGAAAATGAGGATGTTGAGATACATGTATGGGCATCCTAGGAGAGCAAAGATTAGAAATAATGTTATGGGAGACAAGGTAGGAGTGGCCTCGATAGAGGACAAGATGCAGGAAGCAAGGTTGTGATGGTTCGGTCATGTGAAGAGAAGATGCACAAATGCTCCAGTGTGGAAGTGGGAGAGGTTGGTTATGAATGGTTTCAGGAGAGGTAGAGGTAGGTCAAGGAAATATTGGGGAGAGATGATTAGACGGGACATGACACAACTTCAGTTGACCATAACCTTAGATAGGTGGTTATGGAGGACACAAATTAGGGTAGAATGTAGGTTAGGTAGTTGAGTGTTATCTCACTTATCCTTCCATACTAGTAGTCATAGTACTACTTTTGTTGTTTTTTTGTTATTCGATCTGTGTTACTATTAAATGTTTCTTGTACTTCAATTGTCGTATTATTTTGTTGTAGTTATTTTTCATTGTTAAAAATGTTTTGACATGCTTTCTTTACTATTTTGTCATGACTTCTTCACTTTTGTTTTTTTCCGAAACTACTTCGAAATTCTTTTACTTAAGTCGAGGGTCTATTGGAAACAACCTCTCTACCTCCCAAAGTAGAGGGTAAGGTCTACTTACACTCTACACTCCCTGGACCCCACTCGTGGGATTACACTGGTAATGTTGTTGTAGAAGTCAATCATAAGGACAATAAACAGAAGTTAACTGTAACACCTCAGAAATCAGACTTGGACTTTCAGCAGAAAAACACAAAAAATTGGTGAACCACGACAGGGTTCACGGAAAGAACCACGATCCGTCGACTTGTCCGTGGTTCACACCTACCCAGAATTGGTGGACCATGGGACCCTTCGCAGGTCGTAGACCACCACACAGCTGCGGGAAGGCTCGTGGAGGCTAGGCAAAGAACGTCCAAGTTCAAGCCTCAGACCACGGAGCCCACCACGGGCCGTTATCTTGATGACGGGCCGTGGGAGAGTCCGTCGTCCTGAGCCAACAGACCCCCAGCCCAAGTGAAGAACCACAGTTTCCTTCACAGTTTGTGGTCCTTCACATGGGCTGTGGTAGGGCTCGTGGAGGAGTCCCCCCAGAACCAGTAGCACTAGCCAAGAACCACGACCCACTTGACGGACCGTCAGTGGTGCCGTGGTCGGCCCTCGTCAGCTTTTAAGTCAGGGTCGTTTGGTCTTTTCCCCTATGCATTAGGCATTTAAACTACGTCATTTAACACCTAAACTATGTCGTTTGACTCAGTTTAAGACTGATAATTTAGTCAGAACCTACCTAAACCCTTTATTCCCAAAAATCACCAAAATTTAGAGAAGAAAGAGACGCCAGTTTTCTCAAGAACACGCAACAAGTTTTCTTCTGTTCCAACCCCGAAATCAAAGGATTTCTCTGTGAATTTCGTCGCCAGATATTTGGGATTTCAATAGCGGTTTCTTTTCATCCACTGGGTCCCTAGAATTCAGTCAGATTCTTGATTCTCTATATCTTGTTTAGACTTAGGTTTTATAAATGCTTGGATAATTGTCGTGATTTAGCTGTTGTAGTATTCTTAATCAAAATATCATGATTTCTTGGAAACGTTGTTTAGTTCCTTGCATGAAACTCAGAACCCTAGTTATGTAGATTCTCTTAGTTCCTGAATTACACTTACTAGGTCAGTTAAATAGATAATCATGCTGCAGTTACAAATTTTACATTATCAGTATATAAATGTTGCATTCTCAGATTTTGCATGTCAGTATTTTGAACTATTCAACATTTCAGTATTTCAGTCATAAGGTGTCATATACATATTCAGTTGGGAATAGACTTAGCACCGAGTTGGACTAGGGTTCAGCGTACCCTCATAGTCCCAGAACTACGTGCCCCCGTAGGATATAAGTCCTTTCTGTTGGGCATCAGATTTAGTGATCACGTCAGTCATGCCTTTATACTCCTGGCAAGGTATATTGGTTCCTCTCGATGGGGAGTATACATCGGACTCCATGTTTAGCTCACGTGATTTTATGTCGGTTAATAGTAGCTCCCATAGTCAGACTCTTAGTGAATTTGACCAGGTTTTCAGTATATACTTCAGTATTCAGTTTAGCATGTCATGTTCATGATTAGCACTTGGTCATTGCATTCAGTTTAGCTTTTCAATTATGTTTCAGTACTTACATTCTTGATCAGTTTACAGTATTGCTCAGTTATATCTTGTTTCAGCTTATATATGTTTGTTCAGCTTAGTATCTATATCCTGCATGCTCAGTACATTCAAAGTACTGACGCATACTCTGCGCTACATCCTTTCATGATGTAGGTTCAGGTACTCAGCATTCAGACCGTGTTTAGATCGATCCTCGATCCGTATTCAACAGCTTCAATGATGAGTCCTCATACTTCGAGGACAATAGACATGCTTTCATTTCAGTATTTACATTTCAGTTTTGTTGGAGTTAGCTGGGGCATGTCCTAGCAACTCAACTCAGTTAGAGGCATTTTCAGACATAGTAGTAGTATCAGCTTGACTTGGTAAGTTTAATCTTTCAGTTGTTATTAAACTCTTAATATGGTTTATACATTCAGACTAGTTGGATATTCCCCATTGTTAAGAGAACCACTATTTTAGCTTCCGCATAGTTCTTGCTTATTTAGTTATCTTTCAGTATGCTTATGATATGCCAGACACAGGATTAGCTTGGGGTCACTCGTGATCCTAAGTCCCGTGTTACGCCAAGGGGGTAGCCTCGGGGAGTAACATTAACACACTCATTTTCTATTCGACAATAAATGTTCAAGATGATAACAATCTAAAACTACAAAATCATAATTCGAACTAGAACTCTAGTAAATGGATATTGAGTAATATAGTCTAGTTGAAATCTTTAGATGGCACATCAGTAATCTATGAAACAAAATATGCAACTAATCTTCCTAATTGGTGGCTACATGAGATATCCTTGTGTGCAAAGTAATATGGAAGAACAAATTTGAAGCTACGAGGCCATACTTGTTGCCAAGATATTACATGATTAAAGAAACTATCCTATGAGATGCAGTTTAGATTGAGAAAAATGTACTAGTTCTAAAGTAAGTTGTAAAATTCGGATGTCTACTTCCAGTGAGGGAAAATAATGCAAAAAGAAAATGGAAATCTCCAGCAGAGGACATGTTTACCTGATTTGCAGAAAAAACAGTTTTTATATCTTGTTCATGCCATAGTCTACTGTGATTCCATGGCTTGTCCTGGTCAACATTGCGTGCCACTTGCTGACCCATTTGTTCTATCAAATCATGCATCTCAACCATTCCTTCAGATATATAAGAGTGATTTTTGGATGAGGATATCTGTTCCAATCTCTGATCGGAAACCAAAACTGTTTAGTATAGTAATCACATCATCTCTCTTTCTTCCTCTAAAAAAACATGCCATATCAAGGAAGATATTCTTCTCTTCATGGCTCAATCCGTCTAGAGTTAAACTGAGCTGCTTAGCAATTTTTTCATATCCAGTATCTTTGAGTCTATCTAATGCACTTCTCCACTAAGTAATGCCTCGCTTGTAGAGAAAAGAACCCAGGACCTTAAGAGCTAAAGGTAAGCCTTTAGCATAATCTACTACAGATTTGGAGAGTTTCAAAAACTCTTTATCAGGAGTCGGTTTCTGAAAAGAGTGCCAACTAAAAACTTCAATAGCCTCATGTTTAGCCAATTCAGGAACAGAATATAACTGGTCATGTCTACGTAGCAAATCTTGGTTTCTAGTTGTTGTAATGACTATACTGCCACCACCCAACCAGTCTTGATTTCCAACTAAATATTCCAATTGGTCTTCATCATCGACATCATCAAAAACAATCAAAACTTTCCAGTGGCAAAGCCTTCTTTTTATCATGTCGGCTCCTTCATAAAAACTTGCCATATTCATTGATTTTTCTTTTAAGAGTCTTGAAAGAAGCGTCTTTTGCAAGTACATCAGCCCATGCTTCTTTGATTCTTCTCTAACATTTGCAAGAAAACAAGACCCTTGGAATTGATGAGAAACCTTGTCAAAATATTTTCTTGCAACAATTGTCTTCCCAACGCCTCCGATCCCCCAAATTCCAATAAAACAGACATCACCTGATCGAAACTTCAGTAATGATTCTACTTCACCCACACGAGATTCGATTCCCACTAGATATTTTTCAGTTGCTGAAACGGTGTGGTGCATATTTCGGAAGTTATCATTTATAATCTTGTCAATAGAATCTGCTTCATTCCTGCATTCAGTAAAAATAAAATAATAAAAATGGAACATTTGAAACACAAGAAATGTTAAAGTAGCCAAAAGCAGTCCATATTCCATCCATTGCTTCTCAAGGACTTGTCTAATATGTGAGAGGGAACAGTGTCTTCAAATTCACAAGAAATCTCGTTTGAAGTTTCTCCTTCAATAGTTGCCTTCTCAATGCAATCCATTTCCATTATCACATCCACTTTCATTTATATTGTCAGCAAAAATCACGATACACCCAAACAACATTCAATTGCAACTAGATTTTTGTCAATGTCAGATACTATGGTACTCAATCATTGTAATAAGTTCTTATTTTCTTTATAAGTAAGAAGGATTGAGTTCAGATAAATGCTCATGAATAGAAAAAAAAATCCATTTTATTACGTGTAGGAATGTATGCGTCCACGTTTTCTATGGGACCAGGTCCTCAACACATTTATAATAACAGAAAATAAACAAAGTGCTGAAAGTAAAGATTGCACAACAACTTTACGTGGAAACCTCCTTGCTCAAGGGAGTAAAACCACGACCTGGCCTGCCAGGACTTTCAAACTTATTTCACTAATCTTCTCCAAGCAAAATTAAAAGCAAGTTTACAAACTGAGATTAGCCTACTAATCCCAACTCTAAGCAATACCTCCTATTCCTTAGATGAGCCTGAGCAGATACAACACTGCCCACTAAGCTATCACCCCTAGATAACTTAGACTTTGCTAAGCGGATACAACACCGCCCACTATACTAATCCTGATCGATTAATATAGACTTTAAAGTAAGACCCTAAGTTGCCCTTAACCTAATTCTTACAATGATTCACACAAATTTGAAACGTTTCTTTCACAAGTGAAACGAATCCTACAATGTAAGCACTATTACAAGCAAACAAAGTAACAGCTGGTACAAGAAGCTCTTGAAGTAATCGATCAGATCCCTTGCTGTTCTTGAAGCTTGAAATATTTCTCTCTTTGAATGAATGAATGAATATTGTTGTCTCATGTTTGATATACCATAAAGAGTTATTACCAAACGTACAAGCAACCTCCTTGCTTCTGATTGGTGAAGTACTCTGCAGCTTCACCAACCTTCTGACGCAGACAGCTTTTACAGTTGTACAACACTTTGATAGCTGGACGAGTATTCATACTCTGCAGAGGACCAGGTCCCTGCACTTGTGAGGAGATCATCAAAACACCAAAAGGCATAGGCTCTTATCAATTTCCCCCTTTTTGATGATGACAAACAACCTGCATAACTCCTCAGGTGAGTGAACAGATATTCATTCAATGACTGGTGTTTCCCCCTTAATTGAACAAGCAATCTCGTCGCTTCTAATTGGTGATGTACTCTGAAGCGTCACCAACTTTTTGACGCAGACAACTTTTACAGCTGTACAACATATTGACACTGGACGAGCATACTCTGCAGAGGACCAGGTCCCTGCACTTGTGAGGAGATCATCAAAACATCTAGGAGCATTAGCACGTATTATTTTCCCCCTTTTTGATGATGACAAACAACCTGCATAACTCCTCACGTGAGGGAACAAATATTCATTCAAATACATAACAAATTCCCCTTTTGTTAGTGCACCAGTAACAACCACAGTTCGTTCCCCCATAGTTCAATGCCCCTAACAACCACAGTTCCCCCTTAGTTCAATGCCCCCTATTCCACAACCAACTTTACAACCTTAGTTCAGTGCCCCCTATTCCACAACCAACTTTACAACAAAACTTCCCCCTTTTGACATCATTGAAAAGGTGAAGCAGTAAACATATTCAAGTTAAATCCAAGGCAATAAAGAATTCAGGGCTTTGGGCCACACATAACATGTGTATGTAAGCATAAAGAGAATATTAAGCCACACATGAACAGGGGAGAAACATAAATAACATTAGATCACAAATACTGACCACTGCAGTCAAGCAAAACAAACACAAAGCCACAAGAGTTTTAATCAGGATTGAAGAACAAAAAGGGAAATTAAGGAAACAAGACACTTTTAGGACGAAAGGGGACATGGATTGAGGGTGCACATAAACAGAGACAGATGCTCATTTGCATCCTCATGAGCCTTGATAAGCTGCATGTTGAGAGCCTTAACTTCCTCACTAAGTGATGCATTTGTCTTCAGCAGCCTTTCATTTTCATCCCTCAACTTTTGCATCACCTGCTCATTTTCATCGCTGGTACCAGGTCCCCTCGAAACCGCCTTCTATAATTCAGACTTCAGTTTAGGGATTTCAGCCTCCTAGTCATTCAGAATCTCAATGAGATCAGTTACTTCCCATTTAATAGTAGCCTGCTACTCTAGAACATCTGTCACTTGAGATCTGCCCCTAGATTTTCCTTTAACACACTCACATTCCAGCATAATGGCAGGGAGGTTGATCTCTTCAAGTTCATCAAGTTTCTCCATGAGAAAAAGATCAGCAGCAGATGCCACTGTTCTCTTTTCAGTTCTGGGCACTAACACCTTGTTGATGAACTTAAAAAATAATTGATAATCCCCTTTGAGAAACCATTTTTGGTAACCCTGCATTCTTGACATCTCCACATTTTGTGGAGTCACTGGATGGTTTACAACCTTCTATCGTTCGAATTCCTTCCATAAGAACCCCTAAAATGATCCCTAATATTTCTTCATCCAGATATGTTTCAACATTCCTGACAGTAGTCACGACGTTAACCGCTCCTCCCTTGTCATTTCCTTTTCTTCACTTAGTTTTTGCATACCCTAGGACCTGGTCCCTTTATGAGTTTTAATTTTCAGCCACCTATTTTCAAACTTTCTCTCTTTTCACAGGAGATTTCTTTGCAGCCTTCTGGAGTAGGAAAGGAGAAGTTGAATGAACTAGGATTTTCAACTTCTTGGGAGTTAGGGATTTTTGAAGAAGAATTAGAGTTAGGCATTTTGAGAAAGAGTGAAAAGCTTTGGAAAGGGGATTAGTGAATTTGATTCACTAAGAGAAGTGTTAAATAAAACCAAAAAGACATCGGGTCCCCAAACAGTAGCGACCTTTGGTTTAAAAGCAAAAAGACGTCTGAAACTGACGCGATGAATGGGCGAGGGACACGTGGCAGTGATGTTGTCATACAGACAGTGTAGCGTAAGTGATACTAACCTTAGGAGGACCAGGTCCCCTTTTCAGTTTGCAACCCTGTCTGTATGATTTAATCTTCCCTTCAGCTAGACATACCATGAGTGTATACCTGCATTAAGGTACCAGAAGTGAATTCTTAAGTGACAAGCATTAAAACAAGTATAGATACCTGCCATCCATAACATAATCAAAATAGAAGATTTTTGTGCAAACTTGTCAAGGAATCACGTAATCTTGTGCATCCCCAGCCTCGTCCACCACATTTTGCTTCTCAACATTGTCCCTCAGGAAATCAGTGATGATCCAAGAAAATGTGCCATGCCTGATGTACTCTTTCGATCTACAAGAAAGCCTGCATAGTCAGCATCTGCAAAACCAATTAGATCAGGTGAGTCATCTATTAGGTAGAAGAGGACCAGGTCCTGAGTTCCCTTTAAGTATCTCAGGATACGTTTAGCTGCTTTTAGGTGAAACTCCTTTGGTGCTGCTTGAAATCTTGCACACATTCCTACACAGAACACTATGGCTGGCCTGCTTGCTGTGAGGTACAAGAGTGACCCAATAATTCCCCTATACATAGTCTGATTTACCTCAACTCCATCTTTATCTACAAGAAGAATTATTGATAGGCGTTCATACCAAGCTCTGGGAGCTTGTTTCAACCCATACAGAGCCTTGTCTAACTTCAGCACATGATTTGGCAGTTCTATATCTTCAAAGCCTGGGGGCTGTTTGACATGCACTTCTTCCTTTAGATTCTCATTCAAGAAGGCACTCTTGACATCCATTTGAATGAGCTTGAATTCCATATGAGCAACAAATGCTATCAGAATTCTGAAGATCCATCTTGTTCCAAAAACTGTTATGTTGATAGGTCGGGGAACCAGGTGCCACACTTTGCTCCTCTCAAATTGACGGAGTTCTTCTTGCATTGATGTTACCCAATCTGCATCCTGTAGAGCCTCATTGATGTTTCTTGGTTCAATGGATGACATAAGGTTGAATATGCAACTAGATTTCTTGTCCTGGATCTAGTTTGAATTCCAGAGTTACGTGGAGAGATGAGATTGTTCAATGGATGTGAGGATTGATGTTTCCATTCGGACTTTCTGATCAACTCTTTTTCGATTTCAGCATCAAATTCAGCATCATCATCTTCATGATTTTGAGATGGAACCTTCTGGGTAGTATCAAAGGGACCAGGTGCTCCTGTGAGATCTGCATCAATTTCCTTTGCAACCTGTTTATTTCCAGAGTTTTGGATATCTTTGTCTTCCCTTTCCTAGATCAGCTCTTCCATCTCATGGTCTCCCTTTGATCATCAATAATCACAAGAATATATGTTTTACCTCATCTGCTTTGAATTCTGATAGGTCCACACAGATCCATGTGGAGAAGTTCCAAAGGTCTGGTAGTGCTCACACCCTTCTTTGCCTTGAAAGAAGATCTTGTTTGTTTGCCTTTTGCACAGGTGTCACATACTTTATCATTTGAGAACTTCAGCTTGTGTAGTCCGCAGACCAGGTCCCCTGCAACAAGCTTGTTAAGTAAAGAGGTACTTACATGACCCAGTTGTCTATGCCAAAGATTTGCATTATCAGTTTGAGCACTAAGACATGACAAGTTGTTTCCCTTCAGACATGAACTTGACTTCATTTCCCT